CTCCAGATCTCCGCCTGGCAGGTGACGTCACAGTGCTCCAGCAGCTCCGCCATGCAGGCGATGCTTTCCGCGTCCTGGATGATAAAATTCATCTCCAGGTCGAACTCTCCACCCACCAGCTGAGAAAGAAAGACAGAGCCAGTGTTAGTCACAAATGGAAAATGTTTACATTGACGAACTGTATATTTTCAATCAACAATAATTAAAAAGAAAAACACATCATGGTGATACAGACCATGGTTAAACAAAATATGTTAAGAAAAAAATTATGGTAAGTTATTGTACATTAAGCTGTTTAATATGATTTAAGTCAGAGTAAAATTGCCAAGAACTAACTAACTAAATAAATAAATGGATGGATGGGAATAGGTCAAGTTTATTTATAGAGCATTTTATACAATACAGACAGCTTAAAACAGCTTTATACAGAAGTAATAAACAGAAAAACCAGCATCAGTGACACAAAATTCAAACAGGAATAAAATAATTTCAGTTATAATTACAATTCATTTTCAACTGTAAAGCAGCTCTACAGAATACAAAACAGTGTCATTAATCACAATTTAATTTAATTATTCAATCATCTTATTCAATAGGTATGGGGGAGATTGACACAAGGTGGATGAGATGGACAGACCAAAGTAATAAAGACATAAAAAAATAATGAAATTAGAGAATGAATTAATTTGAACAGAAAAGGCAATTGGAAAGGTCTTGAGAGTGCAGTGAATGTGGGAAGAAAAGCAAAAAAAAAAAAAAATAATACAGAGAGAATTATTAAAAGAGCAGTTTTTGAGGTTGCTTCCGTAGAGAGCAGCACTCTCAGCCTGACAAACAATGATTGTGATTTGAGAGGGTCATTTAATGTCGGGGTAGAAAGAACATAATGACCTCATACACACACTGGAGAGGAAAGGAACCGACAAACCAATCAGAGATTGTTCCTGCTCTGCAGCAAACAATAATCAATGGCATCGGTCTTGGAGTTCAACAGGCATGAAATTGGCCAGCTCCTGGCCATGCAAATGCCAAACCCCTAAGTAAATAAGCAGGTGATTTGGAAAATAAAGGCTGAAATGCCTGTAAACTACATTTCGGTGTGAAGCCGAGGTGCAGAACTTCTTTAAGGGTGCAGTGGGAGAACTATTGATTTTCACACTTCATTCAATAGTCAGATTGGGAAAGCTCTGGCGCTTTAGAACCTTTAGTAATTGGGCCGTCGATAACCTTAGCACATGTAATTGCCCCGTGCCACTCACCTTAACCGAACATTCACCTTGATTATTTCTATTATCCATGTGAGGACCTTAAACATGACTTTACCATTATTGAGTAAAGCAGGGGTCTTTTTTGAGTCAGACCATCAAGATCAACATTGTAAGATCCACTACTGCTTTTATTCACTATATACTAGCCTTAAAAAGTCTTCTCTGCAAGTATGTGAATGCTTCTAGCGATGCAAATTTGATTTCATGCGTCACTGTGTTCAAACGTGTCAGAATGCATTAATTGTGTTCTCAGTGCCGCAGGGTTCGTCAGCATTAGCATAAACTGTCTTCTATGGTCATTTTTCTCCTTTAGGTCATCAACTGTCATTATGGAGACACAGAATCTTGATAGTTAACTTTAGTTCACAATGTGTTGGGCGATTTGCTCCATAGTCATATCGTCCTATCGTTAGCCTGTGAAATCACCAATACACGATATTATCATGCTAATTTATTGAATTATTTACTTGCTTGTTTTATAGCTGGCGAGTGAACCAACTCCAGGGCAAGGCTAAAGGTAGCTTAATGTTAGTGTCATTTATTAACTACACATTATATCATTTTTGTCAAGTAGTATATGAATGTACTAAAATATTTTTAATATGACTGAATTTGTGTTTAACATGATCATTTAATACAAACACTAAGTTATTCAAACAGCAGCTACAGAAAACGAGCAAAGAAAATGTACATTATCAAAGAACATCATCACTGACTTCAGTCTAGGCATGAGTTTATGCACTTTAAGATACACTGACTAAATCTCTTAAAGGAACACTCCACTATTTTTGAAAGTAGGCTCATTTTCCAACTCCCCTAGAGTTAAACAGTTGAGTTTTACCGTTTTCGAATCCATTCAGCCAATCTCCGGGTCTGGCGGTAGCACTTTTAGCTGTAGCTTAGCATAGATCATTGAATCTGATTAGACCGTTAGCATCTCGCTCAAAAATGACCAAAGAGTTTCTATATTTTTCCTATGTAAAACTTGACTCTGCTGTAGTTACATCGTGTACTAAGACCGACGGAAAATTAAAAGTTGCGATTTTCAAGGCCGATATGGCTAGGAACTATACTCTCATTCCGGCGTAATAATCAAGGAACTTTGCTGCCGTACCATGGGTGCAGCAGGCGCAATGAAATTACGCAGTGCCTGCATGTGTACAAATGGAAGTCAATTGAACGAAAGGTGCAGTGTGACCGGCCCCTTTGTACTTAAGGTCCTAGCACAGTCTTGAGCGTTTTTTTTTCATTTTTGTTGTATTCATCATCCTTTCCTCTCAAAATGCATGCTACGGATGCGAGAAACACAGAAAATCAAACCTGATCCGAATTTTATGACGGACAACAGTTTCGGAGGCAGTGTGTAAACGTGATTGACACAACGTGAGGTTGTATTTATTTTTTATCATGCCAAAATGTCGGACTCAGTGTGCAAGGACCTTTACATCGCATGTAGTTTATAATAATAATAATAACAATAATAAAAAATAATAATCAATGTTGCTTTCGTCAAAGGCATCAGCCACAGGCGAAATCTTTTTGAGGAGATTAAGCTGGTATGATCTGTTCTTCCAGACGGTTGAGACAGGATTTGTTCGCAAGTGTTTCCACGGTATCATTCCATTAAACTATTTACTATCCATATAGTGCAAACAGAAGGACAGCAGGGATGACAATCCTATTGATTTGTCATGGTTCATCACTCCCAGAGGCCTTTAGCGAATAGATGATTAATTACGAGATGTTTACTCATCAATAATTGCCTTTGAAACCCAGAGAAATCATGGGTAGTTTAGTGAACAACAAAAAAACGTAATTAAGCTTTCAAGCAAATGGTTTCTAACAGGGAAACAAAATAAACACGCTTTTTTGCATGTGGAAATTCATAAAGTTAGATAGCCCAACATAAAGTCTTCAACTCCATACACTAAAATTTTGTACATAATCAGTACTCTTCACACAAGGATGCAGTATAACAAGAATAGACTTGTTTACCTCCTACACATGCCGCTTAGGGGATTAAACAGACTTGCACAAACACAAAAAGACCAAGGATAATACTAGAGTTTCTTTTTGACCCTTGAACACTGGCAGTGGTGTCAAACACTATTTTTAAGCAACAGCAAATGCAGGAGCTGTAACAAAAAGATCAGACAGAGCGCGGTACAGCCTCCAGCACATTAGCTCACAATCTCCTCACCACTTCAGTCATGTTTTATTACAGTGGGAACAGACTTTATCGGTTTAAGTTAATCATGGCAGATATGGCGGATGGGATCGGGAAACAATCCGAGCCAGATACGCTACACACCAGGCCACATCTTTGACCAATGCGTCGATTTTATCTGGAAAATTGAATTTTTAGAACATTTGCTCATCCGCAATACAGCGCCGAGGCATTCCCTGTCTGATGTTAGAACGTCATGCAGCAGATGCTCCGAGACATTTATGATTTCACATGTTTCTCTCAATTTGCTGTTTTAAAAAATGTTTATCAGATGTTTATACATTAATATGATGCTGAAATCTAAACGGAATAAAAGAAGAAATGAAAGGAATGTTAGATGTAAGAGCACCCAAGAAAAAAAACATGCACTTCAGCATTGAAATAAAGCAAAGAAACATTCAAAAAAACAGCCGGGAATATTTAAGGGGAAAACTATGAATGACTGACTTGAAAGTACTTGAATACTTGTAGTTGTCTCTGCACATTAAACATCAAAAATAAAATACAAAACACTTCAGCATTAAAATAAATAAATAAAATGAGCATTCAAATACAGCATAAAAAAAAGAGCGACATAGCAAGGAAGATTTGTGTTGGAAAAATACCTATAAATGACCCTACAGTTGCCTTTGCACATTGAAAAATATAATATAATATAATATAATACAATAAATCTAAAAAAACAAAAACAAATAAATAAATATAAAACAATATACGAAATAAAATATCATTTTTTAAATATTTAAAAATATTAAAATTAACATTTTAATTGGGGAAAATGAATGCCTGATTTATTGTTGTTTCTGTTTTTACATTTGTTTCTGCATATTAAGTCTCTATGGTACGCAATATGATATTAATGAGGAAAAAATTACTTGTGATGTTTTTCCTGCTTAAAATCGTACACTATAACAATATCAATAAACATTTTCATTTCACATGTACCACAACGGACAAACTGAACTATTTGACCTTTTCATGCAGAAAAAAAGAAATATATTTAATGAAAACATTAATTTCTTTAACCAAACATTTGAACAAACCTATTTACAGTATCTATTATTTATTATATATAACAATATTTATTACAATATGTTTTAGATAACACACTCTCACACAGTCATCCCAAAACGTACACGATGTGCTAACAGGGAAAGGGAATTTTCAGCTCCCAGAGCTTTAGCTGTATGCTAATATATGACATACTAACTCATTGTCAGAGATTATACTCCGTGCAGCACTAAAGCAGTTAGCAACTAATTATTTTTCCACCGGGCCCCCTTCCTCTACTCCCACCCACTCCAAATAATCAATTACTATCCAGACAGTTGTGTTTGGAAGCAAGCTAATTCATTTGTTCAAATGAAACAAGCCACAAGCCCAGTAATAAAAGGGGGAGAATGTGATTTGCACAGGTTCTTTTGTTTTTTTTTCCGAGCTGAAAAGCAACTGTGGGCAAATGAAGCAAATCACAAGTGCTCTTAAGTGCTAAATTACTCAACAGATAACGCGATGCATGTAGTAAAGCACATGCCAGTGACAAATGAATGTCTCCAGGTTGGTGGTTAATCAATTAATTGATTGATTTTTCTTCAGGTTGGGGGACGCTTTTTGAGGAACATTT